CCTCGCGTTTGCAATTTGAATATAATGATGCATTTAAAAAGTAATGGCTAACGTATTACAAAAGTTCACAATGCTTCTGCATATGCAATATAATCATGTGGACAACATTGAATAAATTCATTTTCGTCAGGTTAGACACTGATAATTAATCACTCAAAGCTCTTTATCTAAACCTCGCTACACAGCCGCGGGACCAGCTCGGGACTCACGCGTCCTCCGTCTGTAGTTTTTTTTTAAACACTTTTTACTCGTGTTTGTAGTTCTAACCGAATCCTCGTCCACCGTGCAATGGTTTGTGGGCAATATCAGCTGTTACCGTTAGAGTGTGCATCGATCTACACTTCAGATTCTGACCGGATATAGTAGACCATTCGGGTATCTTTGCAACACTAATTTCAACATACTACGATTTGGGACGTACTAATTCTATTTTCGAATACTATTTAGGACGGATCGTATGCGAATTGGGACGCAGCAACTGTGTTTTTGAGACTGTCTTTGGTTCACTGCAGTTTTAAGGAGAAATTAAAGCTGCAAGCAGCGATGGGCGGGCCCTCGCACCTGTAGCGCATCGGGGTGTGAGGCGACCGCGTTGCATATTCTGTAGCTCAGACGGTGCGGGTGTGAATTTGCTACGCACTTCATTTACCAGCACTTCATTGCCAGCAGGTGGCGCTATTACTGTGGGCTAATTTCGCCATGTACGTGTGTTCAGGGCGGGACTCTTGTCAAATGTGTAAAATTTCGTGTAGATCTGGGCATTTACAGCCAAGTTACTACAACTTCCTGATTCATGGCGAATCATCGAAGCCACGGACACGCCTATCGACGAAAACGCGCAGATAGCACAACTTTACATCGTCAATGCCTTTAGAAGGCACAGCAGAAATGTGAAATCGATCCGACTAAATCCCTAGGAAGAGTTCGTTAAAGTGCGTAATGAGTAAATCATCCAAAAATGGTGGTAAAATTAGAAATGGCCGACTTCCTGTTGAGTTTAGTGCATCGCTCCAAGAGACTTTTCTGTGCGTCTGGACATGGTAAATGTACCACAGAAATTTCGTACATGTCGGTCAAAGATGTGGCGGGGGCTGCTTCGTTAAAGGTCACTTCCTGTTGCCAGCAGGTGGCGCTATGACTGTGGGTGAATGTCGGCATGTAGATTTGTTCAGGGCGGGACTCTTGTCAAATGTGTAAAATTTGGTGCAGATCTGGGCATTTACAGCCAAGTTACTACAACTTCCTGATTCATGGCGAATCATCGACGCCACGGACACGCCCATTGACGAAAACGCGCAGATAGCACAACTTTACATCGTCAATGCCTTTAGAAGGCACAGCAGAAATTTGAAGTCGATCCGACAAAATCCTTAGGAGGAGTTCGTTAAATTACGTAATGAGTAAATCATCCAAAAATGGCGGTAAAATTAGAAATGGCCGACTTCCTGTTGAGTTTAGTGCATCGCTCCAGGAGACTTTTCTGTGCGTCTGGACATGGTAGATGTACCACAGAAACTTCGTACATGTCGGTCAAAGATGAGGTGGGGGCTGCTTCGTTAAAGCTCACTTCCAGTTGCTACTAGGTGGCGCTATGACTGTGGGTGAATGTCGGCATGTAGATTTGTTCAGGGCGGGACTCTTGTCAAATGTGTAAAATTTGGTGCAGATCTGTAGCCTGACTTCGTCATACTCATATTCAAGAAAGAATATGAGTCTGAGACCACTACATTGGGCTTTGATTATGAGGCGTGTCGTAACCGAACCAGGACAAAAAACAAACAAACTCTGCACTCAATTGGATAGTCGGTAGACCTACCAACCAATCAGAGCAATGCATGAGTCAACTCCTTTGCATAGCGCAGTTTTCAAATACAGAACATAGCCTAACTTTATTTATTTTAGAAGTTAAATAACGAGTGTTACTTCTTTTACTTACTTCTCCATGAGTGCCACCAAAGGAGAAACCACAACGACCACAGGCTTTTCATTACGTCCCATCTTCTTAACGACCGTCAGAGCCAGCTGATAAGTTACACTTTTCCCGAATCATGTAGGAAGGACGCCAAAAATATCTTTCCGATCGACAAATGCCTTGATTGCAGTTCTCTGTATGAAGTTTTATTAACTAAGTTCGGGAGGAGCACGTTCAGATAATTAACACGAGTGGACAGCAATCAATGATGAGAGGGTACAAATAGACTCAGCAGTCTTACCTCGATTCATTGACAGTTTTGCAGCATTTAGTAGATTCGCCGCTTCGGGTCAACTACCGGTTACTCGCAGCATGTCTCCAACAAGCTCCTCTTCCGACGAAGAATTCACCACGGATGCAACTTCTCACTCCGTTGGTCCCACGGTCATCCCTTCTACGCCGGTCAGTGCACCTGAGCCCTCGGCATCTCCTCGCGGCCGCACACCGGCCCGATCAGCCCGGCACTCAACAAGATGCCATGACCAGTCTTCGCCGCCTCCGGCAAGACTTCCATCTTCTTCCCCAGCAGCTTACTCCTACCGCTCGGCCGTCCCGACGATCCCACCCATCGGGAAATGGACCGTTGCTGGGTTGAGGCAAGCGCTGGGTAACTCCGATCTACAAGTTCCAAGGAAAAAAAAATAAAGCGGAGCTGTAAGATTTATACTCCTAAAACGACTCAAAGGCAGAGCAAAGTCCGCAGGGCTCAAAATTCGCCTGCCCAGTCACCACCCTCGTCTCTTCGCACAGGACGCAGCTCACTTCGCCCTTCGAGCCGCCGCAGCAACAGGCCCTCAGCGAGCCAGGGCCGCTCTTCAGGTTTCGTCACAACAGCTGCACTATCACATTTTGATGAGGCCCAGGCCCTCCACCTCTGCTTCCGCCGCCGCAGTGCCACATACAGACGGGCCCAGCGGCCTCCCCACAGCCGCTCAATTCTACTCTCCTGCTGTACATAACCCTTTTCCTTTTCAGTGGCCTCCAGCTCCAGTTGCAGACACTAGCGCGAAGCTATCGCCGCTAGCATCACAGACCAAACAATGTCAACAACAGGTCTACCCAACAGGTTACAACCCCGCCCACTTCCAGTGGCCTGCAGCTCCAGTAGCTCAAGCTAGCGCAGGCCCGCCTCCGCTTGCAGCACAACCTCACACCTCTTTCTATCATCCCTCACATCCTCCAACTAACTTTCCATCTCATTTTACAACAGGTCATCCAATCCCGAGGGCACAGCCGTCAATCGCAGCCCCGGTTTATACCCTTCCCAGCTCCATTATACAAACTAAATCACCATATTTTCTTTTCACAGCCACTCCGATGCCTGTTCCGCTCAATGCAGTTGCCATGGAACCCCCACCAGTTTCTCAATCCATCCGCGCTCAGATCCTCTCAGGTATGGACATAGACCTCTCCACTCTGTTGTCTCTCCTCCCTGCAGCCGAATCAGACCGCCAAGTGGATTGCGGCGATTTTTCAGTGACCCTGAAAAACACAAACACACACTCATCTCGCGTCCTTTCATTTCCCGAATTCACGATTGCTTTTTCACGTTTCACGGAAATCATCTGTTCAGCCTTCCCCCACAGGCGGCGTGAACTGAACGATTATCAAGCAATCATTGCCGAACTCGCGCTGTCCTATGGGGAGGGCATTTCTACACGTACCATAAACTTTTCAGACTGATCTCATGAAGTAGCGTGTGTATGACACGCCAATTCGTATTTCCATTTTTGGCGTGCTATCAAGACGCATAATCGCCTTTCAGCGTGTTTATGAACGCCGTTGACTTAACGTTATATAAATATATGACTTACCTCAACCCCATCCCTAAACTTAACCGTCACTGGGGTTAATGGCATTTATGACTGGAGATTTGACTGCGTGTACAGACACGCGGAATGACGCAGACGTTAATGGCGTAGACATATACGCATGCACGCGGTAGCACAAAATGCGTGGAGATAACACGCCACCTGACTCGAAAGTGGCGTATATGTTTGCGCAAAAGTCATGATGTCATGTTGAACTTTTTCTGCAAAAAGTGCCGTGCGAGTCGCACAATGCAATCAGTGCACATACTGGGGTGCACTTGACTCGGATCTTCACAGCAGGGTATTTTTAGGTTGCAAAAACATTACCTGTGCAGTTTGCAGGTCAGTGGCTCAATCAACCGCAACATGCCCACAGGTTAACACTACCTCTCTTCCCTTTGTGACCTTTTACCCAAGTGTAACTGGTCTCTTTTCTGCGTTGTGTTTTTCATTCACGTGAGAAGAACAAGACAGGACTGTTTCAGCGATCTTTTATTCTGATGCACAAACAAAATGTAATCAGCCTCTTAGTGAGAATCGCCCTCTCTAGCTCTCTCACTGCATCACCAGTGCAAAGTGTTCGATAACGTTACTGTGGGGTTGTCCTAAACGTGGCGCGGCGCTTCTCGTCCGGTGTGCGACCCCCTTTACAGCCAACAGTTCACATTCCGAGAATAATTGAAAAGAATAATTGTGCTCCATTCCATAACAAATGCGCGAAACAAGCTGACGTTTGTTGCTTGATAGACGCTAACGCACAACTACAACTACCGCATTTGTCCAGGACTACACGCAGTACGAGCGGAAACCGAGGTAAGCGGATATGACGCGATTGACTCGCGACTCCCAGCTCACCCCAGCTCATACGCCCCGTTTCCTTGGTTAAAATCTCAATTTTCTCACGATTTAAACATTGTTTGAAACATTTGGAATGTTGTAAGTTATCATCTTAACGAAATATATAACACTGGCCTTGTGATTTTGGTATATTTTAATGCAAAAATCTTAGGTATTCCACCTTTAATATTACTAAGCAAGCATGTTATTAGTCCCCATACAGGCATATACTGAAAGTTTACTTGAAGTTGTTCCAGTTTAGCACACAAAAATACACTAAACACCATTCAATTCATTTTTATTTGAGTAGCACGTTCACAATACACATCGTTTCAGAGCAGCTTTACAGAAAATGCATTTGTCCAAGTGACAATTTAGAGTGATCTGTTAGAGGAAGCTGTCTAAGTTATGCATTTCAGAAATGTATAACTAAAATATATATGTTTAAAATGAGTTCTTCCAAGTTAACAAATCATTAACACACCTGAAATATCCTGCCTGGCTGCAAGTTTACATCGCTTAATCTGCTTAATCTGAATATCGAATTATTTCCCAGACAGTCACATAGACTCGGCCCACATCCGGCCCACATCCGACACCATGTTGCTCCCGAAGTCATGGATCTGAATGTGAAACTTTGCTCACTTAGATAACTTGTGGCAATGCCGTTTCCTATGTCTTATTAGATTACTTGATTTGCCGAAACTGTTCCCACACGCAGAGCACTGGTGCGGCTTCTCTCCGGTGTGAACTCTCTCGTGATCTTTCAGGTTTCCCGACTGAGTGTAACTCTTGTCACAGTGTGAGCACTTGTAGGGTCTCTCTCCGGTGTGAACTCTCTCGTGTAGTTTTAAGTTGTTCGATGTAATGAAGGTCTTCCCACACTCAAAGCACATGTAAACTCTCTCACTAGTGTGAATACGCTGGTGCACTCGTAAATTCTGCAGATGTGTAAAACTCCTTCCACATGAAGAACAAAAGTGAGGCTTGACAGCTGCATGGATTTTACGGTGCTTTATTAAGCTTGATGGTTGAACAAATGTCTTCTGGCACTGATCACAGCTGAAGGACTTCACACCGGAGTGAGTGCGCATGTGACCGGCCAAGATAGATTTACACCTGAAACTCTTTCCACACTGAGTGCACGAGAACGGTCTTTCTCCAGTGTGAATTCTCATGTGATCATTTAGGTCACGTTTGTCAGCAAAACTGTTTCCACACTGAGTGCATGAGAACGGTCTTTCTCTTGTGTGAATCATCATGTGTCTTTTGAGTTTTGATTTATGGAGGAAACCCTCTCCACACTGAGTGCATGTGAAGGGTTTTTCTCTCATGTGATTTTTCATGTGCACTTTAAGGTTTTTTTCAGTTGTGTAACTCTTTCCACACTCGGAGCAGGGGAAAGATCCGGTTTTTACAGCTTGTTTCTGTGTGAAATTCTTTTCCGTCTGTGAAACGACTGCGTTTCCATCTTCATTTGTGAAATGAGGGGGTTTTTGAAACCGATGCTGTTTGTCTTCATTCACTTCCGTCAGGTCTAAAATCAACACAATAAATTCCCATAGTTAAATTAAACAAAGATAATTAAGTTCATTCCTAATTTAGCACAAATCTGGTCTTATAGACGAATCCGGCGAAACTACCGGAAGTAAGCGGGCGCCATAACTGAGCTATTGCTGGGTAGCGTTGCGCCATTGCCTCCTATTGTTTTAGTTGCAACTTGCGTCCACTGGAATAAACAGCTCGCGATTTACGACTGTCACTAACGTTACAACTTTTATAATGTCGAGTGGGAAAACATGTTCCGTTATAAATTGTTTCAATGGTGGCAGTAAAATTTCAATTTTGAAGGAAAAACATTGTGAATACCCCGGGTCGACTGCCCCTGTCTGGTGCCGTACGGTTTACACAGATTTTCTGGGCGAGTACAAGACGCGGACATTCGCGTATAATAACAAATATTTAATGACATAAGTAAAAAAATATAATAAACATGTGATATAGTGATCAGCAAAATCCCCATCTCTTGATATTTTTTCTATTCAATTAACATGCTATGGTCATTAAATGGCTTTCCTGAGCTAAATGTAACGTTATGTGACATAATTGTTTTCCTGCTGTTATATTGACCTCTTTCCATGGTTTAAAAACACTAATTGGTCGATATTATGTATACTTTCTATCTGTAACGTTACCTTACCCTTGCCCATTGCAATTTGAAAATGAGATAAATAATGGACACAAAGGAAAAACATGAATTTGTTTATTTGATTTCATTCATTTATTTATTTATTGTTGCCAAATGGACAGATCTTTTTTATAGTTTCCTCGTTAGCAAATGTTAGCCTAGCTAGCTTGCCAACTTGCCAAGCTATTTTCATAAATAATCTGTAAGATCGTTTGTGCCTTCACCTGTGACTGGAGGCCGCTGTCTAACATCATCAACCCAACAAGTCATTCTGCCTGGCTGTAGCGGTCATCAAGGGTGCTTTTGCGTTATCACCGAGGTTTGTTTACATACTGGTGCATATGTCTATGCCGGTGTAACAGCTCAGTAATGGCGTCGCCACAAGATGGCAGCATACACAGAACACTCGTCGGATTCGTCTAAAATCGCAGATGTAGATCTACATTTGCTTCGTTTCGCTCTGACATTTAACGGCGTGTACATCCACGCGGAATCACTCGGACATTTAACGGCGTAGACATACACGCGGATATCTCAAAATGCGTATAGATAACACGCCACTTGGCTTGAAAGTGGCGTGTATGTTTACGCAAAAGGCATGATGTCATGTTGACTATATAGACAGCAACATAGTGTCGGCCCACATCCGGTACGCGCTGAACCCACATGTGCCGTATCTGGGCTGTCTGGGTAGTATCTAGTTTTAGATGTATTGTTATATGTCTTTTTTCAATAGGGATGCACCAATATGAACATTTTGGCCGATAACCGATAATTCTTTACATTTGAAAGCAGATAACCGATATATTGTCTGATAGATCTAAATCCATATTTTGATATATCTTTTCAGAGCCTGAAAAAATAAGCCTGATTAAATAATTAAAATCCTTGTCACAATCACACAATTATAATGTTATCATTATATTTGTATGTAGCCGATATGACAGACTTGTTGCACTTTGCAATATTTTCCTTGTTTAAAGTGATTCCAATCATATTTCAATTCAAAACCAACATGTTGAACAGTGCACATCTGATGTGTCTCAGCTAATAATACTTTATTTATCAGCTTTAATAATAACGATACCATTAAATATAAACATATATCGTTCGATACCGATATGGTGGCTGATTTATCGTGCATTCCCTAGTTTTCAACTTAATGATCCTCATCAGCAGTGTTGGGCATGTTACTTAAAAAAAGTAATTAGTTACTAGTTACTTCTCACAAATAGTAATTGAGTTAGTAACTGAATTAAATCATTAATCATGTAAATTAATTAAACGTTGCAGATGATACCAATAGGCTACAGAGATTATTCTAATGCTGAAATGTGTTATTTATTCATAAAAAAAATAATAATGTTCGGAGTCTCTCGCGTAGCGTTCACACTCTATCTGTGTGTGTAACGCTCACGGCATTCGCTTCACTTTAATCCAGTCACCGGCGCCTAATACACACACACACACACACCAGAGAAAAAAACTTTGCAGGTCCTATGGCGGAGAGAGAGTCTATTCGGACGGAAACCGCTTCAGTAACGCCGCATTTTATTGTCCTTACCGGTAACGACGTTGTAACAGGGAAAACAGTAATTTTACTAATTTTAGGCTACTCTCGTTACTGAGAAAGATAACGCCGTTATTCCCATCACTGCTCTTCAGTCATTAAGGATATTGAAGGAAATCACAGACCTGTTTGTTCCTCTGTTTCTTCATCTCTCGTTCTGCAGGGTTCCTCCTCAAACTCCATCTTTATTATGTCAGTCGTTCCTCTGTTTGCTTCTTCTTCTTCTGTGGGGGAAGATGGGAATATTCACCAGCATTTAAAGGGTAACTAATCCTTGGTCACCCTGACTCCACCCACTGGCGATATTTGAAAAATGCGGAAAAAGTGGGCAGACCCCATCGGGGATAGAGGGGACAAAAAATAGATGCTAAAACACTCTCTCCTGGTCGTTTTTAATACTGACTCGCTACAGTGGTTTCGGCTCTGGTTTTGACGAAACAAGTTGTTTTTTATACTGCCAATGGGGCGTAGCTCGTACCAGAGCCATGTCTCGTACCAAGTGCATAGTGAGCTGAAGTGTGGAACATCCCATAGGAAAATTCAACCGCTGTAGCCACCGTTCAACCTGAAGAGGGCAGCACTAAGACGTTTTTACACCATAAACAATTTATACACAAATGTCAAAAAAGTTACTCAAATCAATGACTGGTGTTAATAAAGATCCATTCTTACAGAAAAGTAACTAAAAAAAGTTGGTTTAGGGTTTACTCTTTAAACCTTCATGAACGGCTGTGTGAATGGCTTCACTGACTGAACGACTCCTCTATCTGATGTTTGTGTCCTTAACTTTTATCTGTTAATGTCCTTAACTTTTATCTGTTCAAAATATATACAATGACGAGTTCGTCATGAATCCATGAATGTTTTTGTATTATCCTGAACAACTATGGTACACCTGTAATAATTGTTTACATTGGGACTATTTTACACTGGTTCGGATCACTGCCGCTGCGGAGTAGCCCAGTACCCGCGTGACTCGTCATAGACGTACACAGAGAGAAGTAGTTCCGGATACAACGTTCTTCCGAAAGACGCACTAGTTCTGTTAATAAGCGTAAGTTTATCGCTCGCTAAAGCGCAAAATAGCGTAAAAATAAAGTCTCACAAATAACTTGCAAGTATTGAGGCCCCAGACAGCAGTCATTTAGTAATAGCCTATATTCTTTTTCTTTTTTACGCACCACTGTGAATATTTTTGTTTTTGCAGAGGGGCAAATGGCTTCTTCTAGGCTTACGTTTTTAAATAACAAAGGGCCTACTGATGTTTTAGTCATTGTATTTTCAATATTATAGGCTATTATGTGTGCATAAACATATCTGGTTAAATAGTAAACATACTGTTTGTTTGAAAACAACATATTGCCATCCTTGCTGCAAGCTTACAAGAGCGATAATATCATTAAATGTGAGGGGGGGCCCTAAAATATTTTATTGGGAAAAAGGGGGTCTCAGACCAAAAAAGGTTGTGAACCACTGGTCCAGACGTTAAGTAATCACAAACATCAAATGAGTGTGTTTCCCTTCTAGCCTATATTATATTATCGGCTATACCCTACTTATCTCTTCATGGGCGGTTCTCATCCAAGGTGATTACTTAAATAGGCTATCACAAAACAAGCATGAAAATAAGCAAAAAAAAAAAAAAAAAAAAAAAACCCAGCTAAAATCAAGATAACAAATATACATAGGCCTATTTCTAGTTATGCTAATCTCTAACGTGTTTTCTCAAGTAGAAATTGTGAAGTCAAAAAGGTTAAGATACTGGTCTAAATCTTCTAAAGTGGTGTCAGGAATAAGCTCTATATATTTACAGCACTGTTAAACTGATAGGATCTAAGCTGATAGGACATTGATGAGGACTGATTGCTGTGATCAGGCATCCATTAAACCTGTGAATGTGTGCAAAGTAAAGACAAAAGAATAGTTTGCCATTTCAAAGACACAGTTTTTGTATCTTTAGCATTTAACTTCTACCTAAAATAAACTCCAGTTAGGTGCGTCATATTGTTGCATTATTATTACTTTTTATTTTATTTTCAGTGTAATTCTTTGAGAAACTAGGCTATAGGGTTATTTGCGTTTCAGAAAATGTCTGACATATTATTGTTGACATGATATTATTCTAATCAAAATAATAAGATTAAGAAAAAAAATATATGTTGCCTACAACTATTCATTATTTTGTTTATATTATGATTATAATATTCATTATTATATATAGATATATATGTGTGTGTGAGTGTGTGTGTGTGTGTGTGTGTGTGCCACTGCCACTGGGAGGCAGTAGAGTCCACAGAATCAAGTATATCTGGAGTTAGAAAGAGAAAGACTATAAAACATCTCCATCTGCACATTATACTTATTATAGAGGTTGCGAAAATAGTTTGCTGATAAAACATTTTCAAGCTGAGCATATAGCAAATTGTAGATTCACTACAGAAATTAACAATACACAATTTTCTCAAGATTTAATTAATTTTAAGGACTTTGTGAGGCCTGGAAATCATAATTATAAGATTGATATCTTGACCCCTCATTCTGAGTGTTTATATACACAGTAATATTTTGTATAACGTGTATACTGAATATAATATAGTACATTTCTCTGTTTATAGATACGCTTTTATGTGACTTCATACATTTCAATGAGGTGGAAAATGAAACGTATGCCTTTTGGCTTTGTACAAGATATCAATGTTTGTTTTTCTAAACACTTTAACACAGCAGACATGACACAACTGCACTAGAAAAATATTGAATACGAGATTCAAAATTAAAAGGGCAGGAAATGTGATTTATTATATTATAAGTAGTTTTATTTCAAATTTAGTTTTATTTTAGAATATACTTTGAGTTCAATCACATGTATGTGTTTTAAGTGTCTTTTTCACCATCGTTGCGTAATTAGAGGTGGGTTTTCCTAGACAGTCAAACCAAAAATGATTCATATAACATTTGATATTTTTTTTACTAGTGTGTCCAGGACACTAAGTGAGGAGAGCAAAATAAAGTAAACGCGATATGGACGTCACACACACATTATGATACTGAGCTTTGCATCCGCATGCAGGACACACTGTTACATTGATCTTACACTGAAAAAGCTCTTCTGAAAAGTGCTGACCAAGAGAGAATAGTATAGTTCCCACATTAACATGTAGGATATTAAACGAATTTCCCTGTGGAATAATAATGTCTTAATACATTTTTAAACATGTTTCTACATATAAAAAAAACCCTTGACGATTGAAATATTCTGAATATTAAACATTTCCTTGGCTCCTTTATGAATGTCTTTAAGAAAATGTGAATATGTGAGCAAAATGACAATTTTCCTTTTGTCAAAAAAAAAAACAAAAAACATGTGGTCAAAAGTTTTGGCATATTGACATCATTTTCGTAATGTTTGCTACTTCAATTGTTGATTCACGCTGTTTCTAGATTATTGTGCACTGTTCAGATGCAGTTCAAATAAATAGAAAAAGCTTCATGCGGGCCAAAAATTTACAAAATTCTCAAATTTCTGGCCCTGTAAAATAAAAATAAAGCAACAACAAAACTTTTACACACCATTGCAAATGTTTTATTGAGAATAAAATCTAGGTGGGAAACAGGCCTTGCACTAACAGAGTGTTTAGTGGTCAGTGGTTCTCTTCCTATTTGAAAGATTTTTCAGTCATTTTAGGGGATTATTCTTCCACTGTTGCCCCTCGTTTGTGTGGGGTTCCTCAGGGCTCGATCTTGGGACCAATTTTATTTTTCCTTTATTTGCTCCCTCTAGGTTCTATTTTTGAGAAATTTTTGTATTCACTATCGTCTGCATGTGGCTGATTATACTCAAAATGTATTTAGCACTGGAGCATGGGCATAAATGTGCCATTCACAACTTCTTAGCATTAACTTTGCCGTTTTTGCAAAAAGCTTTTGATGCATTTCCCATAACACGCTGACGCCAGTTTTTAAATGCAGGTTCTTGCAAACAACAAGTTATAGAGACAGTAATTTATTAAGTTGTGTCATGACTGAGAGCATCACATAACATCAATAATGCTGAATACAACCGGTATTTATCAATGGACTACTTTTACACAGACCTGTCAATCCAAGTGGTCAAGAATAATGTGTATTTATTATGTCAACTTTTAGCATCACTTATAACTTCTGTTCAGTGTAAATCGCTTTGTGGAAAAGCATCTTAAGGTCACCGGGCTGCAGCCTTCAGAATGGGGCGGGGCTGCATGTGTAGCTCCGCCCCATACCTCCTCTGATTGGCTGAGAGGAAATGTGTGTAGGACGGAGTATATGCTGCTCACTTTCACAAAGCCTTCATTATAATGCACAGAAGAAAAAAACATAAGCCTGTATCTTGCAATGTCTCTGAAATGATTTTTTTTTCGGTAAATTATAGGCGAGCACACGAATAACCCATTTAAACCAAAGTATATTGGTGGATTATCCACAGCAGGAGGGTCAGGTCTTTAGGTAGAGGAATTAATTATGATTCAAATGCTTCATGAAATGTGATTGCTTCATATCATCACAGTGTGAGAAAGGAAATTAAAAAGATGCAGCCTTTCGGTATCATTTTAATTGAAATAACATGGCAAGTCCAGACACACTTATTTCAAAGGGGTGATGAACTGAGAAATCAAATTTTCCTTGAGCTTTTGACATCTAAGAGGTCATCATATTATAAGAATATACTGTAAGTTTCAGAACTGAAAACGTCCTTGTTAGTCCAATAAAAGCTTTTATTGACACAGCCTCTAAAAACGACTCGTTTTTAAAAGTGGGGAGCTATGACGATAAAGAGGATAAAACACCACCCCCGCAGAAGAAGATCAACGCCTACTTCACCACGGCAGGTTTAGCCCCGCCCACCGATTCGCGCATTACACGCATAGCTAAGTAGCCTAACGTATGCCTACCTCGTGATGACACAGACATATACACTAGACCTCACCTGGGGGTTCTAAGCATGCGTCAAAACCGCCGCCATCTTGGAACAGGGGTCTTGTCATAGGAAGTAGCTAGGTAACGCTGCTATCTCTGCCTTTACTTCGAATTCATTGATGATGGCGGACTTTTGTGCAGCGTATGAAGTTCACGGATGAAATCTGAACTAGGAAGAATGTTTAAAAAAAAAAAAAAAAAATTAAACATTTTTTTTTCTTTCTGGAATCAATGATAAATACATGTCTGACCACTGGAACAAACCAAAAAAACAAGAAAAATCGCATTCATGATGATTTATGGTGATTTTATTTGCGTTAGACCTGTGTCTCCCCTGTTTCAAGATGGCGGCTCTATTGACGCATTCGTTCTGAACTGC